TGACAATGAATCAAGTGATGTAACGTTGCCACCATCTCCGATACATGATCCAGCCGGTTTGGGTGCAGGAGTGCTACAGTCTCCAACATTATTTACTGATGTTTCATGTGACAATGAATCAAGTGATGTAACGTTGCCACCATCTCCGATACATGATCCAGCCGGTTTGGGTGCAGGGGTGCTACAGTCACCAACATTATTTACTGATGTTTCATCTGACAATGAATCAAGTGATGTAACGTTGCCACCATCTCCGATACATGATCCAGCCGGTTTGGGTGCAGGAGGGCTACAGTCTCCAACATGGATATTTCAGTGAGATGTAGCAAGTATGTTTTAAATTTCAATAATATGGTTACAGCATCATATGATTAAATGCCATTTTTACCAGGCATATATTTGTTAGTTTTTAGCCTACCATCGTTGATTTTGAAGCTAATAGACTGTCGCAGTCCAGAATCCAAGATGGCCGCCCAGCAGCCATCTCGGATTTTGCACTTTCAAGTTTGTTAGCGCTATTTCTCACGAACTATTGCACAGATGTTGAGGAAACTCCATATATTTCTCAGAAGAGAAAAGATCAACCATTCTAAGATCATTCGATGGTGGGGGACAAGATCCCAGAAGGATCTCTTGTTACCATATGGTACCAAAAAGAAACACTGCATTTATAATTTCATTTCAATTGACAGGTGATTCATAGGTAAATATGTCTCACAAATTAACAAATGGGTTGGTTCTTCACATCATCAATGATAAACAAAAAGTACAACCACATCAATTCACCGAAAATTATGTGCTGCGGGGGACATAGACCAGGCATCAGTTAATAGATGCAGTTTGGCCATTAAGGCAAGACGGTTGTTAACAGATGTTAAACGGCTGAAAAAGTATTCGGACAAAACCTTATTACAAAGATTTCTGGCAGGACATTTCATTTTCCCCAACACTTTCCACAACCACCATTATCCAAAACATCCAGTTAAAGCCTCTCCTTCAGCTGCAGAAACACTGTATTTTATAGCAAGCAAATATCACAAAATTAAAGGCCAAAATCGGAAACATCAACGTTAGAAAACTTAATTTCAAGTTACGGCGTCAACAGCAAATTATTCAAAAATTGAAACAGGAGCTGAGAAATTTGAAAAAATCAACCAAAGTGTCAGTACCTACTAGTAACGTCGCCACGCAATATTCTGCGAAGACATCATCGCTAGTAGAGCAGGAATTGAAAATAAAGTTAAAAGACAGCAGGAATGAAATTGTCTCACTACAAAGTGACATTCAATCATTGCAAGATGACACAAATACCCAAGAACAAAACCAACCATTTGAATTTCGGGACGACTCAAAAGGCAGACCCTTCAACAGCAAAATCCGTCAATGCTACTATATATTTCGTAGCTGTAATGTAGGTTGCAATCACATCCGTGCGCTGATTAAGGCGGCACTACACATTGTTGACATAGACATTAACGAGGAGGACTTACCGTCACCTACTCTCGCAAAAACCATGAGTTATGAAATGGGTTTGGTGAGCCACCATCACATGAAAGAAGTGCTTAGCACTGCTGAACACATCACAATGCATAGGGATGCAGCGACAAAAAAAGGCCGACATTACTATGGCGTTGAATTAAGTACAGGTGAGAAAAAATTCATGTCATGCATGCACATTGATACACATTGATGTACATTGATACCAAATGTCATATCAATATTGGTATTTTAGGTTTGTTGAGGCCAAATCAGCATCTTGCTGTAGGTCCATCAGTAGATTTATGGTGTTACCAAGAAATACATACAGTAAAAGTTTGTTCTTCCGCTTGGTTCTAATTTTTGCTATTTTTAGCCCACCATCAGGTGTATTTTGTGTCATT